TGACTGCGTAACTAAAAAGCTAATGGTGAGAAGGAGACGATCATGGTAGCACAGTAGAGCTTTCTTAAAACAGAAGGTATACACATATCCTAAAAATAAGAGACACATTCCTCATTTCAGGAGAGTGGGTTGGGTTATGCAAATATTATGGAGAAAGTAACAGGAGCTGGGGCACACCAAGGGGGGCAGGAACACCAAAACACTTCCAGGTGGTTAGAAGCTGAGTTGGCAATGTTGAGGGGAAAATGTAGATGTTGTAAGTACCCAAGACTTCTTAATAGACTCCACCTAGACCAGGGGTCAGCAACCTTAAACACTCAGAGAGCCATTTAGACCCGTTTCCCACAGAAAAGAAAACACCGGGAGCCACAAAACCCTTTTGGCATTTAAAATAATGATAACACGCCATATAAAGTTTTTTACCTTTTTATGCAGCATGTATATAGGTATATGTGGGCTTAGTAACGCACCGGACTCTGGGCTTAGTAACTCTCTGCGCTTAGTAACGCACTGGACTCTGGGCTCAGTAACACACTGGACTCTGGGCTTACCTGAGACCCACAGAGCCCACCTGAGAGTGACCCTGTAGAGCACACCATAGATCCTGCATAGCCCACCTGAGACTCTCTATAGTGGACTCTGCAGGCCTCAGATGGGCTGGTCGCTGGGGTCCCTTTCCCTGTACCTCCTCCCAACTCCTCTTACCTGCTGCTGCTGGGGCCCGGCCTTCTCCACCCCCTCCCCTGTCACCTCTGCCATGCCGCCCCCTGGTATTACCAGGGGGGTACCCAGGACCGGACCTCACTGGGCCCCCCCCACAGCCTCAGGTCCCGAGGCCCCCCTAGTAGTTCCGCCCCTGGACAGGGAGCCGCAGCAAAGGGATGAAAGAGCCACATGCAGCTCCGGAGCCGTAGGTTGCTGACCCCTGACCTAGACCATGGCAAACTGTAGTAATGTTCTATGGTCATGGCCTTTATTAGAATCGGCAAAAGCCTAGGCATATTTGCTCCATCCACCCTCTAGTTTTTGCCTTGACCTTCCCTTGCACATAGTGCTGTTTTTAATAAACCTTTTTTTTTATTTTAGATGTTCCAGCACCTGTTAAAAAAACGTAAGCAGATTCAATGGTCTTTTGGCCCTATAAACTCCGTTCTGTATGACCTCTCGGGCATCGATTCTCGGGATGAACATCAGTCTGTGCTGGAGCTTGTGGTGTCTTCTAGAAAGAGAGAGGTATGTAGGGCGCATCAAAGCCTAACACCAGATAAAACCTTTTTCCTAGTTTTGGATATTGTGCGGAAGATATAGAACCTCCGTCAGGTTTTTACTGTTGACTTTGCCTCCAGTAGCGAGAGATCCCCTACACTTCCTGTTTATTTGTAAGATATCAGAGAGAATGGGAACGAAGTTGCAAATTTCTCCAGCAAGTACATGGACAGCCTTGAAAACCCCAACCCAGAGGTTCTATGCCTTCCACAAAATTTCCAAAGTAAAAGTAACAATAAGCAACAATGTATCATAAAGTCTTCAGAACTGTAATGAAAGGCCTAGTCCACTTTTTGGACCGACCATGTTACACCCATATTTAGGGTGTAATATCAAGCATGGTAGTATACAGTAAAAACAAAACGCCATTCAACCCTTACCAGAATTGTGGGGTGATTCTGGTTCCTTAAAGAGGAACTTTACCCACCAGTTTAATGTCTCCCAAAACACTTACTTTTTAGGGCACTCCAGCTGTCAATGTTGCCAGTGTGCTTGTTTCAGCTCTCAACCAAACTTTCAAGCCCTTTCTATTTGGATGGCAACTGCAATCCACATAGAGGTTAAGATGAGACCTTCCTTAGCTGTAAGGGATTGGAGGTTGTAGTTCCACTTTAATTCGGATTGTATTTAATTGTAATGAGTCTGTGCATGGCTCTGCTTTGAATTAAACCATACCAGCAAGGTGTACCCACAGACAATTCCTGCCCTAGAATGACAACGCTTACTCTGCTCCGCTGTAGAGTTGTCACCCTTTCCTGTGCATTCCTGTGTTGCGACTACAAGCAGCCATGATAACGTGCAGTGCACTGGCCCATTCTGCTTTTAGTCACCGCAGTAAAACTGTGACGCTCAACAACTATGTGGTCTGGTGCCAGACCCCTTCCAGGTTAAATGATGCCCAGTATCATGCCCAGGCCGCCTTTTGAGTTCCAGGATGACCATCATGGCACCCTGCACCATTTTCTCATCTTCCTTCCTTTTAAACTTACCTTTTGTAGGCTCGGCACATCTTAGAAATGACTCCGGTGAAAGAACTGGTCTGTCTGAAATGGCGGAGCTGCGGTCGGCCGTATTTTTGGCTCTTGGCAGCAATCTACTTCTTGTATATGGTATGCGTTACTGTGTGTTGCACGTACCGGCCTCTGAAGTCCATTCCGAAGAGCAACGATACACGAGATGCCGTCGTCATGATACAGCAGTCTCTCAGTGTGAGTAGTTTGTTAATGAATGAGGGGTGGGCACTCTTTCATTGGTTACCTCCTGACATTTTTTTTTTTTTCTGAAACCCAACAGGAGGCCTATGTCACTTATCAAGATCAACTTCGTCTGGGTGGAGAGCTGATCAGTGTGATTGGAGCACTGGTTATTTTACTTCTCTTGGTAGGAACTTGTCAAGTCTAAGAATTGTTTTGAAAATTGTTGTAGCTGCTTTTTGAGCAATGTTTGCAAATTTCACTATGAATTTGCATGGGGTGGTACAAGGGCCTAACTAGAAATCACTGGGTGCCATAGCAAAATTTTGTATGGGGCTCTGATTTCTGTGGGCAGAGCCCACCAGAGACCCCCCTGAGAGTGACCCTGCGGAGCCCACCTTAGACTCTCTATGGTGGGCTCTGCAGGGTCACAGGTGGGCTGGTCACATCCCTGCACACCTCTTACCTGTCAGCCCCGGTCAGCTTCCTCCACAGCTGAGCCCAGCCTCCTACTCCGCCAGGCCCCACTTCCTTCCCCACTGCAGACGCCAGACCCCGCCTCCTCCGCTGCCAATGCCAGCCTCCTCCACTGCAGCTGCTGGCTGTCACTGACTCAACAGCGGGTGTGATGAGGAATGCCCCACTGCACAGATCACAGGTTGTCAGTGATCTGAACAGCGGCACATTCCTCCTCACAGCCGCCAGTGACAGCCAGCAGCCTGCGATGCCATAGCGACCCAGGTGCCCCGCGCAGCCTCAGGGGGACCCCTTTGTTTTTCGTACTGGCAGGGCCTCCCTGTGCCCCGGGCCCCATAGCAGCCGCCTGGGTCGTTACTGCGATAGTTCCGCCACTGGTGTGATGATACTTCTTAAAGAAAATGATAATGAATGTAGAATATATGGCCAACATTTTCAGAATATCTGACCATCACACCTATGTGAACTTGTTGGACACCCAAAATCCAAAGACATTTATATGGAGTTGCCCCCCCTTTGTGATCATAATGGCCTCCACTCTTCTAGGAAGGCATTACACAAGATTTGGGAAGTCTATGGGAGGTTTTATCCATTCACCTAAAGGGAGTATATGTGAGGTCAGGTACTGATGTTGGATGAGCAGACCTAGCTCACAATCGATGTTCCAATTCATCCCAAAGGTGCTCTGAAATCTCAACCAGCATTGTCTGCCTTATGAGGTGGATTACAACACTTCCACCCCTTTTTGCCCTCTCCGCAGGTATACATTAATTTATTTTCCAGCACAACCTTGCTACCTTAACTCCCAAAAACCTGCTAAAGGGCTCATGGAAAATATTTTTTTTGTCAGGGGTGGGGCTATATCAGTAGGAACCTAGCTTCCAGCAGATTCTTATTTATATACAGGATTTATATAGCGCCAACAGTTTATGCAGCGCATTACAAAATGGAAGGAGACAGAACAGCTACAGAACAATTTTAATACAGTAGGGTTAAGAGACCCTTGCTCACAAGAGCTTACAATCTACTAGGAGCAGATGCCCCTACAAGAATGTTGCAAACTAGTAATGCCACAGGGGGACATCTTGAAGCTGTTTCTTGCTACAGGAACTAGGTAAAGCAAAACACTGCTGGGACATGATCTGGAGTAGGAGAGGGATGCTAGAGGTTAAGGTTGGGTAACCCTGGCTGTACCCTCTAACCCCCTATGATGCTTTGCAAATTTGTGTTGAACCTCAGGGGAGGGGCTATGAACTTTGTCTTTTGTTGGATGCTTTTGCCTTTTGTATAATTTTGGCTATTTTTTTTACCCTTTTAGATCCCTGACCTCCTACGGGTTGGAGCTACCAGATATTTTGGACAGACTGTTCTTGGTGGACCTTTCCATGTCATTATGTAAGAATCTTCTCAAATCCTCCCAACATTCATTGTGGGGTTTTCAAGAACTATGAGGTTGGGTAGTGTAGAGATTGCTAAACGAGCAATATTATTCTTTTGTCTGATATGCAAGTCCTTGCATTATGCTTAAAGCTTGCACGGTTGTACCGGCTCCCAGGGCCGGATTGGTCTCGGGGCGACAGGGGGTAGAGGGGCCACAAAGCTGCTGGCGGGTATTTTTTTCCTACATTTAGACCTGCTTTGGGCAAGCGGGGCTAAATGTAGAGTGGGAAAGCCAGTGTTTGAGCATAAGTGATCCCGGAGATGTCGCCGAAATCACTTGTAATATGCATGCAGCCCCGTTCCCCCTGCTGTGCTGCGCTAGAACTCCTGTATTGGAAGTGACCTATCACCTCCAAATGCTATCACACAGGGAATTGTTAGCTCCCGTGTGATAGCAATAAAGCTAAGTGGAAAAAACAAATGGGTAAAAAAATTATAAAATAAACATTTTTAAAAAATAAGAAATAATTAAAATTAAAAAATGTGATAAAGTAAAAGATAAAATTAAAAAATTAAAGATAAGCTATAAATACACATTTTAAAAAAGTAAGAAAAAAATAAACATTAAAAAAGTGATATAAAAGTAAATTAGAAAATTAAAAAAAAAATTAAAACCAACCCTGCCTTCCCTGCCATTCTTTATTGGGGAGGGGGGGTTGGCGCGGAGGGAGTGCATTGATGAACCTGACCTTGAGGCAGCAGGGAGTAATTCCGTCCGGCTCCTCTCCTGGACTACAATCACTGCACACTGTGAGCTTCTAAAAATGTGCATTATCAAGGAGGCTAGGCATCACGTGTAGGCTTTACATCGGTCTGCATGCAAAAACAGTCTGCTTTGGAGCCCCCACTCCTCCAGACTTGATATCTACTCATTAGGACATTTTGATATTTGCATTGCCCCTCCCAAGAGCCAGCCCACTGCTTGCATCAGTGCTGAGGTCTCTTAAGAGGAGCTGTGCTGTTTTTAAGAAGTTTTGTATAGCATTTATACAATCTATATATGAAACATGTAAATATAATGTCAGCTTGCAAATATACAGAGAAACAAGTCCATCCATACCTGCGATGCTGCCTGAAGTAGATTTGGGCTTTTTCCTGCGGATGCATGCTACAGATGGCAGTGGATTCTCTTCTCAGTCCTAAAATGGAGGCTGAATTCCCAAAATGCTCTTGTTTCCTTCTCCTTGGACGGAGAGGATTTTGCAGTTTACCAAAGAAAAAACTGGCTAAGCTGCTGTAAATAAAGATGTTTTCTCTTCAGCTCCATCTAGTGGCTGATTTTGATATGGCAGGTAGATAAGCCTATCATTTCTACATGCCAGGGGCAGAACAATGGGAGAGATGAGCTCATCATTCTGCTGCTTCTCCTTTAACTCTCCCACCACAAGCTGGTAGGAGGACAGCCACAGGTGCTGGGTACAGCCGCCCATGGAAATCATTGGCTGTATGAGGCTGTACTTTCTGAAGCTGTACTATGGCTTGTCCACCCAAAACTAATGTGTCTGTATCCTATTTCCCCTTGTGAATTGTTATTATGTATGTTGTTTTTTGGTTTTTTTTTTTTGGGGGGGGAGGGGTTGTGCATTGTATTTTGCTTTTTATTTCTGCTGATCAACGCCCATATCTTCCATTTTCTTCTCCAGAATAACCTTCGCCTGCATGGTGATGGCCGTTTTGGTGATGAGGGTGACCAACAGCAGTGGCGAGGTGGTCCCTATGTCGTTGGCGTTGGTCCTCGGCTGGTGTTACATCCTGTATTTCACCCGAGGCTTCCAGATGCTCGGTCCTTTCACCATCATGATCCAGAAGGTACAAGCGTCATTGCATTGCATTTCTTTTTTTTTTAAATGGAACTCCGGGTAAAGTAAAAACAAAGGACATACAGTATATGATGCGGTCTGTCTGTGGCATTATCAGTGCAGTTTTGTTTTTCACCCTGTAACATTTTTTTTTTCTTATAGCCTGCTGATCCTGCCAGTAGAACTGTTATTTTTACACTTACTGTAATGGGCCAACCTGTTCAAAAAAGTGACAGTAACAGGGGTTGGGACAAACCATATAACACCACCGGGGGGTGCTCACCATTATCAGCTTTTATTTAGTTGATTAAAACCAAAAAAAAATACTGTTGCTGTAACTGCTTAAACTGTTAGCTGTCGTTGGCCTTTAATGTGTTTTGTCTAACTCGAGTGCACGTCAGATTACACTTTCCTGTATCAGTGCGACAACATGTACCATGCAATTTCACTGCAATGAACAGCGTTGTCACCCTGTTACAGGGAGTGGGTAAATAACAATGCTACCAGCAGAATCAATATATAATGAGTGCATACTGATATGGAATTGTTTTTTTTAATTTTATTTTGTCTATCGGGTTACTTTAACCCTGCTATGACCATGTCATTGAAGCCCAGATGCTCAGGTCAAAATTTAGCAGCGTCGGTAAACGCTGGATAACTTGCCAATAACTTTGATTTGGTGACCTCAAAAACCTTTACATTTAATTCAGAGCTCTTATTTGATACTGTCTTGATTAATAGCCTTCTGATTATTTTATTATTATCTGACAAATTGACAAATTAAAAAAAAAGTAAAATGTTTGTTTTTTCCCACCGACCTCTGCAGCCCATCTCTGCAGGTGAGATGGTGATATGGCAGGAGCTGACAGGTCTGCACATAAACAAACCCATGTGGTTACCATATCCTACATAAAATTATGAGATGGTGATCACATGGTTGGATTGGATCCTGATTTTGGTTACACTGCTACCATGGGTTTGCAGCACATCCATGTGCTGCCCCAGGGAACTTTTGTCTAAATAAATTGGGGCAATTTTTTTTTCCCCACCATAATGCATCAGGGTCTTCCTGAGGCCTGGTGTCCCCCAGGAACGGGGACCGGGTGACACCCCGCCATGATGTCACGATGACAACAACACGTGTGTGCGCGATTATGTGCGGCTATCTGATTGACACCTGCCGGTGGCCGTCTTGGTGATGGATGCCAGCAGAGAGAGGAGTGGACGTTCACCTGACGGGAGGAGGCATGCCCCCCTCTCTCCTGATACTGTCAGGCTCTCGGTCCATGACCGAGTGCCCAACTTTTTTTTAGAGGGGGTGACACCAAAATTACTCTAATGGTGTCCCCCGCACCCCCCTTGTGACGCCACTGTAATGCACTGCCTTTAAACCATGGCCAAACCCCCCCCCCGCCACTATTTCTCCATTCACCGTTCTTGATTTAACCGTTCTTGATTTAACCCAACAGTTAATAGGACTACCATCTGTGTCCGCAACAATTTTGATTGCTAGCTCCTGGACATTTACACCCTTGTTTTTGTTGGCTTTTTTTGCTTTTAGTTTGTGGTCGATCTGATCTGACATTGGTACCTGTAATTCTACTGGTGTATGGCCAGCTTAAGACTGCTAAACAAGTGCTGCTTACTGCACAGATAAAGGGGTGACTAAGTGATCCTGAAGATTTCTCCTATGTGTCTGATGTTGGCCCTCCTAGATTGAAAAAAAAAAGGGGATCACACCTAATCATATAGTACTGGATCTGATTGTTCACAGGCACACAGATTTTTCCATGTTCAGTTTGACCAAACAGCATCCTTAATGGGGCTCCCTTTCATCCAGAGGTCCCATGGCAGCTGTGTGGCCTGCTCAGGCTATAGTTGCACTACTGGCCATGAGATGAATGCCAAGCTGTTAAACTGCTAATCAACCTTAGTTACAAATGTAGTACATTGTTAGATTTTTTTTTGGGGGGGTAAATGGTTTAGTAACTTCATACGTTGTTGATGGGCTCTCTGCTTTATTTTCTTTAGATGATATTTGGAGACTTGCTGAGATTCTGCTGGCTCATGGTGGTTGTCATTCTTGGATTTGGTGGAGGTGAGGAGACTATAGGTGACTTCAATATGGTGGTCATCTGCAGAACACATGCCGTTTTCTCTACGTTCTGCTTGACAGAGGTTCAAACCCCTCACAGGTCTTTCCAAAAGTCGTAAAAAAAAGTTTTGGCTTCATGTACAATTCATGTTCATGTACAACTGCCCTTGTAGTGGGGCTACCCCCACACTGCTGCAAGGGTTGAGTGTTCATTTTTGCTGGGGCTGGAGAAAGACAGATTAACTGGACCTGATGCTCAGTCCCACTGGCCCCGTTACTGTCTGCTAGACCGGTCTCCTCGGCCTCTTCTCCCCTTCGCTGTAACGGTCTAAGGACCACTGCCGTCATCACATCTAATGTATTTGATTCTGCTGCATTGGACGTGAGGACTCCGAGAGACAATCAACAGCTGGAGCAGTAGGGAGAGAAGAGCACTGGCCAGCAGGGGAGGTAAGTAGGTCTTCTTTACTGGGGCAGAAATGCATGCTTAAACCTTGCAATGCGGGGGTATTCCCACTTTTTTTTTTTATGGCCGTAGTAACTTGAGTGGAACTATCCCGGACCAGAATTTAGCTTTACATTTATAAAGGGATAAAGTATAAGTTTCAGGTCCTGATAATTCTGCATGAATAATTCTAATTTTCCTCTTTGCAGCATTCTATGTGATATTCCAAACACAAGACTCCGGGGACCTGGGGCAGTTCATGACGTATCCAATGTCGCTGTTCAGCACCTTTGAACTCTTCCTCACCATCATCGATGGTCCTGCTAATTATGAGGTGGACCTGCCCTTCATGTTCAGCGTGGTATACTCGGCTTTTGCAATAGTCGCAGCTCTTCTGATGCTGAATCTGTTAATCGCCATGATGGGAGACACTCACTGGCGGGTGTCCCACGAAGGAGACGAGCTTTGGAGGGCACAGGTAACCCACAACAGTTCATACATTAAACCAAAGCTCTCACATACTGGGCAGTTTGAACTGAGCTAAAGCTTCAATGGAAATCACCTGCCAAAAAAATCAGGGCAACTCAAGTTCCTAACCAAGGCTAGGCAACCTCAGTACACCAGCTGAGAAAAAAAACGACAAATCCCATCATGTATCTGCCTGTGAAAGTCATGCCTGGCTGTCTATCTTGCAGTGCCTCATGGGATTTGTAGTTTCACAACACCTGGAGTTCCAAGGATGCCTACAGGAATTCAATTTCATGGAAGGTAACCACTGCTTATGCATGCTTTTGCTCTTGTAGGATTTAGTGAATATTTAACTAAAACAATTGTCTTCTCTCATAGAGGCAAGGCTAATTGTTTTTGCATTTATAAAAGAAGCCTAAACTGTGGAAGCTGTACCTAGACAAGATGGGGAAAAAAAGTCTAGTCACCATTATTGCATTTTCATCTAGTCCCCCCCACCCCTTAACATTTCACCTTGGTAGGCCTAAACCTGTGTAGCATCTCCATATATTTGAGCTTGTAGTGGGTACATGCTCGTAATGCACAGAAGGTTGCTGTCTTCCTACTTGAACCCAGAAATATCCTCCTATAAAAGTGTTTCTATGTTTACAGGTTGTAGCCACTACTCTCATGCTGGAACGGAAAATGCCAAAAGTCCTCTGGCCTCGGTTGGTGGGTTCAAGACCTACCTACAGATCTGTACATGGAGTTTTACTGCTGTCTGTGACCACATTGGGGAGAATTTGGACTTCATGTGTGGTTACTGGGACAGGAAGTTGGGGGGAGTCTTTCCAACAGAGTCTACCCATTAAGTTGATTACCCTTCCTGTATGTTTATGGGGGGAAATTGTCCAGTGGGATTGCTCACGCATCCCCTGCACTTTCCCTGCTCCCAGATCAGTTGATTGGAACAGTGTTCAAATGGCATGTTGGCCCACCAAGGACCTGGGCAATGTGTAAAAATCGCAGTCCAAGTCTCCCATGGCCTGCCAGAACAGGGTATTTTGACCCTTGCTGTGGCACTTGGCAGCTGAAACAAAAACCTAAAAAAAAAGCATTATGTTTCGTACTGTAAACGCATCCTGACTGCATTACATTGATGAATACAATGGGTTGAATTGGGTTTTAATTATTTTTTTTTTCTTACCTTTTCGGCAGAGTTGAAGAGCGTAAGGACTTGAAAGCAGAAAAATTGAAAAAAATTGTGAATGCCTTTAAGATTGATGATGACAAAAAGGATGACGTGGAGGAAAACCAGTCTCTGAAAGTTGACTTGTCAGATGAGAAGATTATCAGCAAGCGAGTTTCTATGTCGGAAACCCCAGTGCTGCTTCGTAAATTGTCCCAGAGGAGCTCAAACAGAGGTTGGAATATTCTTAGAAAAGCCTCCATCGACCAGCTACAGGGCAAAGTAAACTATGCTCTAGACCTTGACGAACACATCTATGATGTATGAGCCAAAAACTGAGCTGTTCTTGTGAAGATTTAGAGGTCTGCCCGATCAGGGATTTGCCATTTTGGATCGTATCAGAATTCGGGAGGCAACAACTTCATGATACAAGATACATGGCAGTGTTTTTCTACCTTTTGGACCAACAGTTGGGAATCAAAATTCCTTACAAAGGATGCTTTGATTCTTTGCTCTGGATTTCCAATTCACCAGATAATTGGAAGGAATTTTCCGTAATAGAAAAACCACCAGTGACAAGTGGATATGAACAAAGAGGTTTCTCTTTCCTTTTAATAGGGGACATAGAAAGCCATGGAACTTGACAGAGGTTCTAATCTTTTTCTCGCTCTATTCAAAGGTAAAAAAAGATTGGCTGGAGTTGCACTTACACATTTGGTAATCTGCTACACTTTCTCTGTTGTTAAGATTGATTTTCGGTTACATCTCAAATGGATTGACTACATATAAGCTGGGGACACACTGATCTTTTCATTGCCACAGTCTTAACGCACTCTGTAAACAAACATTTAACTTGCGTCTTTAGGCTTTGAAAGGAATTTTAATGTAAAGGACTTGGACATGCAGCTATAAGTTGGCTTTGTCTTCAGTGGAACAAGATGCACAGGATTTGTTATGGTACTATGACTATAAGCACTGTAAGTGAACCCTGTTCAAGAGGACATACCCAATGGAAGAAACTCAGATCTTTGTATTGTGTTTCTTGTTACATAAGTACTACTGTGAAAATGCCACGATGTAAATGATGATGCAAAGATTGTAGCTAGAGCTGTCCAAAGACGGCATAGATGAATCAGTCATCTAAGCGTGTAGCTCTGGGATGCCCCCATTGTCTAAAAAATTTGGGGGAACAGTAGTAACT